CGTCAGCATCACTATTCAATTAATCCTTGAATAGAAAAAGTTGAAAGTTGACATCCTTAAATAGAATAAATTGAAAGTTGACATCCTTAAATAGAAAAAAATTGAAAGTTGACATTCTTATTTAGAAACTGACAAAATTAACATCCTTATTTAGAAAAAAATTGAAAATTGACATTCTTATTTAGAAACTATCAAAGTTAATATCCTTAAATAGAAAAAAGTGCAAAGTTGAAATCCTTATTTGCACCTTTACTCTCATTTACTTTAATAAATTTATCATTTAATCTTTTGGAACTGAATTTTGATCTCATCTCTCATTTTAAATCTATTTAAAACCATTTAAAGATAATTGCCTAGTTGATGGGTTTAATTTAAGAAAAAAATATTTAAACATAATTGCACATATTTTTTTCAACTAGTGACGTTAATTACTTTAATAAATGTATTATTTAATTTTTTGGGACTGAATTTCGATCCCCATCTCTTATTTCAAATCTATTTAAAAACATTTAAATACAGTTGCCTAGTTGATGAGTTTAATTTAAAAGAAAAGAATATTTAAACATGGTTGCACCTGTTTTTTTCAACTAGTGACATTAATTACTTTAATAAATGTATCATTTAATCTTTTGGGATTGAATTTCAATCACCATCTCTCATTTCAAATTTGTTTAAAAACATTTAAACACGGTTGCCTAGTTGATGGGTTTAATTTAAGAGAAAAGAATATTTAAACACGGTTGCACCTGTTTTTTTCAACTAGTGACGTTAGTGACTTTAATAAATGTATCATTTAATCTTTTGGGACTGAATTTCGATCCCCATCTCTCATTTCAAATCTGCTTAAAAACATTTAAACACGATTGCCTAGTTGATGGGTTTAATTTAAGAGAAATGAATATTTAAACACGGTTGCACTTGTTTTTTTTCAACTAGTGACGTTAGTGACTTTAATAAATGTATCATTTAATCTTTTGAGATTGAATTTCGATCCCCATCTCTCATTTCAAATCTGCTTAAAAACATTTAAACACGGTTGCCTAGTTGATGGGTTTAATTTAGGAGAAAAGAATATTTAAACACGATTGCACTTGTTTTTTTCAACTAGTGACGTTAGTTACTTTAATAAAGGTATCATTTAATCTTTTAGGATTGAATTTCGATCCCTATCTCTCATTTCAAATCTGTATGAAAACATTTAAACACGGTTGCCTAGTTGATGGGTTTAATTTAAGAGAAAAGAATATTTAAACACGGTTGCACTTGTTTTTTTCAACTAGTGACATTAGTGACTTTAATAAATGTATCATTTAATCTTTTGGGATTGAATTTCGATCCCCATCTCTCATTTCAAATCTATTTAAAAACATTTAAACACGATTGCCTAGTTGATGGGTTTAATTTAAGAGAAAAGAATATTTAAACACTGTTGCACCTATTTTTTTCAACTAGTGACGTTAGTTACTTTAATAAATGTATCATTTAATCTTTTGGAATTGAATTTCGATCCCCATCTCTCATTTCAAATCTGTTTAAAAACATTTAAACACGGTTGCCTAGTTGATGGGTTTAATCAAGGTTTTTAAAACCGGATCCATCATTGAACCGTTTTTAGGTTCGATTCTTGATTTAACCAGTTCAACCGGTTGAACCGGTGAATCGACCGATCCAAACAGCAAGGAAGATTTGATGAGAGGAGCAAGCTGCAGGCATGGAGTTTCTAATTTGATGTTGATAATTTTGTAATTTTGTTAAAATTAAAGGTTAAAATGGGTATAAGAAAGGAATGGGAAGGGTGAAATTGGAAAAAAT